GATCAAAATTCATAAAATAAAAATCTAGATCTCATCTCCATTAATCACAATTCAATCCCATCAACAATTCTATTATAGAATTGTTATCGTTCATATCAAAAGTATATTTATTACACAAATGCAATTATATTAATTATGAGCAATGAAATAATTTTAACAAAATAATGAGCATATTATGAACTCTCATTTGGGCAGAGTACATAGTACATAATTATTTCACATTACTTTAAATTTTAACTCAATGCAAATTTGAAAATTGATGCATACAATAACTTCTTTTGGGAAGATAATTGCATACAATGATTTTTATCAATAAAGAACTCTAATAATACACAAATAATGTTCTGAATAATCATGCCCAAATAATATAAAAAATCTTATAACACGTGTTTTTAAAATTCATATTGCATTAGCTAAATTATATTTTATGCACAAATTCTAATCCCCAATATAAACAATTGTACATCTTAGCTCACTAATCAAACTCAAATAAGAAAGTACATAAAATCTATGCTAAAATAAGGAGAGTAACATTATAAACACTATAATCTATAATAATTTTCATTAATTAAAATTTACAAAAAAAGCATAAATATTTTTCGCAAAATTAAACATGAATAAGAGCAAATAATTTCAAATAAATATTTATGTATATAAAAATTAAAATAAATATTTCAAGATATTGATTTCAAAATGAATCAAACATAAAGTTCATTATTAAGGCAAAACAAGAATGCATCAAAGTAAATTACAGGACAATATACACCTTTAATTAAATCAAGATATTATAATGAGGCCAACATAATAGTACATTTTCCTTTGAGCAGAATGCACTAACAAAGGTTTAATCAAGTCCAGAATCTCAGATGAGTTAATCAATGAGCACAACACTGGTTTGAAAATCTATCCCCTTTGAGCAGACAGATTCCTAGACCAATGAGCTTCCAATAACTTCATCTACAACCTCAAGAAGAAGTTGCTCAGGATGAGTTAATCATTTAGCACAACAGATTGTCATTACAAGGCCAACATAATAGTACATTTCCCTTTAGGCAGAATGCACAAACCAAGGTCAGAACCTCAGATGAGTTAATCAATGAGCACAACATTGGGTTCGAAAATTCATCCCCTTTAGGCAGATAGATCTCTAGTCCAATGAGCCTCCAATAACTTCATCTACAACCCCAAAGAAAATTTGCTCAATAAGCATACACCGGCTTCAGAGATGTGTCCCCTTTGGGCAGCCAGATCACTTAGACAAATGCATCTCAATTAACTTCATCCTAAACAAATTTACAGTTATAACACATAATTATCCCCTTTGCCGAGGAAATTGCATGAAATAACCAAAATCATTCCTCAATTTTTACAAATAAATTTTTACAAAACAATATAAGCAGTCTCACTTTGGTGGTAATAACCTATAATAAGTCATGAAAATTCTTAAACATGAATATTTTAAAAAATAATTACATTCTCTGGCCCATAACTATGATCGAATCCACAAGGTGGAACATATTTACTTATCATGATTTCAAAATAATAGCATTCCCAAACAAGTTTTACACTTAAACAATTCAAGCGGAAGCATGCACTTTAATAAACAAAAAATATATTAGAGCAAGAATATAAGGTTTATCACTTTTCCAAAAAAGGATATTTATTAAAACAATTTATTTATTTATTTTAAATATATCATAAAATCACATTTAATTATAACACCATACAAGTAATATTTGGTGAAAATTAAGTCACTATTGGGCTCATCAGTGCCTCATGCCCCATAGCCTATGGACGAGTTTCACTCAAAAAATCCAAATGGGTCTTCTTCCCAACGAAGCAAATCAGCCACCAAGGAAATAAGTTGCATTCATAAAAAGTAAACCCTTAACTCTAAACAAAATAATATTCATCAAAGTTATCATGGATTCATGTTTTTTTTTAATTCATGTTAAATGTGATGTAACCCACATAACTATCAAATAACTTTTATTTTAAACTATTCATTCCAAATAGTTTCAAACAAGACACAAGGACACCAATGATGATGTATTTACTTTTATCCAAATATTTACATTGATCTACAATAACAAACACTAAAACAATATTACTTATTGGATCAAGAGGGTGAAACTAGGTCAGGCCGACCTACAGGGGCCTACGTCAGGCCAGACCTGTCCTAGTAAATTTCGTAAAATAGGCTGGGCTTGGGCCTTGAAAAAGCTTGTTTAATAAAAAGGTCGTAGGCCCACTTTCACAAGGCCTGACCTCTAAGCCTACAGATCGGCCTATATTGTACTATTTATTTTAAATAAAATAGAATAGAATAAGTATGCCTTGAAGAAAAAACAAAAGATATAAATTTAATCAATTTCAATTATTTATAACTTAATTATATTTGATTATATTTTAATAGAAATCTAACTTTATTTCTTACGTAGGATGAACCAACATCTCAGCATGTTAGATTGTGTATATAAATATATTAAAAAGTTTTTGGAAGAGGTTATACTTACTACAAGCATAATGATGTGTTTGTTGGATTCATGTAGTTATTTTCATTTACATAGTATGAATTTGTTTGTTAGATCTGATAAAATATATGTTATTTAGTTTAAACATTTTGCTTTTGAAAGTGACTTAAATGCAGATTGTATGAGTTTTGTTGTGATTCATGATTCTGTTTGGACGTTTAAATTATGATTTTTGGTTTAGCAACATAATTTGAGTATTTTGTAAAGTTGATTCATGGTTATGCTTGAAAGTTAAAAATTAACAGGCTAACGAGCTAGGTCAAGCCATTTGTTTTTTTATAAACGGGACAAGACAGGCTAACGGTTAGACTCGTAATAAGCTTGGGTCAGGCCAAATTAAAAAAATTTCTCATAGGCTTGGTCTTTTCAGGACAAAGTTTGGCCCAGTTCAGCCTACTTTCACCTTATAAAAACTTTGATAATATTGTGGAGCATGAATAATCACTTATGTATTCCAAAAAATAATAATAATCACTTATGTACCCCAACAACGTTAAAATATATAAATAAACAAAAACACTATTTATTTATTTAAACCCATGACAATAAAATTTCACATTCTTGAAGTTGCATTTGCATCAGATACACAAGAATATTTCAAATTATAATAACGATAAGATAATTCAAGAATCAAAGGTTAATGGATAGACATTTATCGATTTACGTATGAGCAATAAAAAAATTAAAGTAATAAAGTGAGAAAATCGTCATACTGTTACAAAGCAACTCAAATTTTGCTGCCCCAATGATTGCTCATAATACCAAACCGCAAGGAAGGTAAAATTGCATGTAAGTACTAAATAGCATGAAATATGAAATTAGGTTTAAAATACCAAACTGTGATTTTGAATGCAATATTCTTATTTATATTTCACGATAAAACACATTCTAAGATACTCGAATTTAGAAAAACATGCTTTACTAAACCTGCGATTTTGGGTTTTATTTTGTTGAAAATCAATTGATTGAAAGATCATATTTTCAAGATTACAAGAGGGAATAAATTAAATCCCAAAAAAAAAAATACAATCATATCCACTAATAAAGAATTGGGTCCTAATTCATATAATTTAGGCTCTTATACCAAATGTAAGAAATTTTAAGATGAGATTATATGAAATGAGGACACCAAAAGATTTAGGCTTACTTGTTAAAGACATGATTCTTGATTTCTTGAAGGCTTCTTGTTTTTTTGATGATCCTGCAACGGAAAGACCATGATCTTCCTATGCAATTCACACCACTCATCACAACCGTCGGTGGGGCGAGTTATGGAGTGACGGTTTTCCACACACTATGAATGTAGGGGATCTAGCCAAACTTATTAACCCTAGTCCTCTTTTCATCATGGGCCTATGAGTTAGGCTTACACTGTTATCCACACTAATCAGTTTACAGATATTCAAGCCCAAATCAAAAAGATCACTAATTAACTGAGCTTTATACTGCATCCATATATAGATCATGACTTAGCCCGTTTTTATTAGAACAAAAAAATTACAATTAATTGAAGCCCACAATTATTATAAAAATTGCTAACATTTTTTTCTTCCGGCACCACACGCAAGACCTTCACTTTTTTTAGGCATGCAACTAACTAGTTACGCACAACATTATGTACATCTCACGTGACATTGTATGTGTCTTCTATGTACGATATTGTGTGCAACTAGTTACATTAAATATGTACTTATTAAATGGCATTAGTTTTGTAAAATAAAATAAAATTTAAATGTAACTTTTTAATTTTTTTTCCCAAATAAATATATTGATACCTTATGTACCATGGGCCGATTGGAATATGAATAAGGTAGTTTACTAAATTTTCACGTAACAAACCTAATTTATACTTGGTCCACGGCCATAATATATATATTTTTTTATCAAATAAAGGACGTGTTGAAAATGAATCTTATGTTTTATTTTAAACGCGAAGATATTCATAATTTTTTTTTTTTTTTTTGATAACATTCATAATTTTTTTTTTATAACAAGATATTCATAATTTTGATTAACCTTAATAACGTACTAAGAAAAAGGGAAAAAAAGAATAATTTATTTTTTAATTACTTACTGTAAATTTATTATTAAAAATTATCGTAACGCGAGACATTAGGGGGTATTTGGTACATGAGAAATTTTTATTTGTCCGGAGATCTCGATTTTCAAAAATATGATTTTTACATTCAGTTTATAATAATATCTAAAAATTTAAAATTTTAAAAATTTCAGTTTCTCGAAAATCCGAAAAAAATCCGTGTACCAAACGGCCCCTAAAGAATTTATTCAAATCAATTAATTCCTCATGAGTTATGAGCCGTGGAGATTTTGGTCGTTTGAATGAAATCAAGGACGAAACGCAGGCAGTTTACTAGAGACGTCACGCTTGTGATTGCCGTTTTACAATGACTAACTTGTATGCTGAGCAAAGTCATGATTTTCACCAACAACACAAGTGATGCAGGTTGTGTGAGAATGATTCCATAGCGTCCAAGAATCTACCGATTACCGAACACCTCAAAAACTCCCATATCTATCTATCTATCTGTCTCGAACTCTGCATCCATTTTGCAGATAAACAAAGCAATCAAAACAAAGAAAGAAGAAGAAAATGGCTAATGACAAGGAAAGTGCTTGTTCTTCACTTTCATTCAACGATTTCCCAGAGGACGTTCAGCTTTGCATCCTCTCGTTCCTGGGCCCCACCGAGATCGCCACGTTCGCTTGCACCTCGAAGCGGTTCGGCTCCCTCTGCGGCAACGACCCCAAGCTGTGGTTCACTATGTGCGAGCGCAGGTGGGGTTCCAAGACCCACATCACCAAATGGGGCAAGGGAAAAATCGCATACAGGCTTCTCTACAATACCCTCCATGAATGGGACAATCTCATTGGCTTCTGGCGCCGAAGCGGCCTTGGAAGCACCGTTATTTCCTCGCCCTCCTTGCTCTTCTTCGAGTGGGGCCCATCTTTTCTCTCCGGTTCTAGGGTTTCTCCCTCCAATTCCGGAACCTACGATGTCATCAAGTCCCCCTTTTTACGGATGAGTCTCTCCGATGAAGGACAGGTCGTGAATTTCGTGGATCCTGATGACCGAGCTGAATCCGACCACCTCGGATTCTCCGAGAACGAGGATGAATTGATTCCGGTGAGTGTCAGTTTCATGGGGAAGACCCACTTTGTCGTGGAGGAGAATCGGGGCTTTGCGTGTCATGATCGGAGGAGACATGATGGGTTTGGGAGAAGATCGAGCTCGGCGAATCTTAGCGGAGAGGATTCCGGCACCGAGAGCGGATCGCCGGGGAGCTTGCCGGACCGGTTGATGATGTCGGAGATTTATCAGCATTTGGCGAACAGGATTAGTCCTGGCAGTGATAGATCGAGGAAGCAGAGGAGGAGGGAGAGGGAAAGGTTGGGTAGGAGGAAATGGGAACCTGAGCATTTTGTGAAGATTGTGAATTGCTCTCCCACCCCATCAAGGCCTTTACAAGGCCTGTGGAAGGTGTTTCTAAACTGTTCCTCGTTCTTGTTATGTTTCAGTTATTTTCAGAGTGTGTTTTGTTATGTTTAACATACCTTGTTGCTTTGGTATCTGTCATTTGATGATTGATGTCACTGTAGTTGGTTGTTTGAATCATAATAATCAACCTGAAACTGAAAGATGTTAAATGAAGAGCAAAAGAATCATGATCATTGGTAGTTGGGAAAGTTGAGAAATTTTTATCTTTGTGGTCTCTTTAATAGAAACTTTGGATGATCTTGTCAATGTCTACTGGTTGCATTTTAAGTGAACCTTGAGTCTACTGGAAAATTTCACATTTCCTTTTAAATCTGTCATGATTTTGAAGATGAGTGATGGTGTAGCTCTTAATGTAGTGGTATGATGGCTCATTGAACTTCATGCTATCGTTGTTGCAGGGAATTTGTGATGACATGAGTTTGGCCTTTTACCTTGTGTCATATGATGACATTGGGGGCATTGCTTGTCGACGAGTTGGGGATCCCCCGGAACGTTTTTCCAGTTATGCCCCAGTTTTCTGGACGGCTAAGGCTACATATATGGAATCTCCCTTTTCTCCGGAGGAAGAAGCTTTGTATGACAGTCGCATTCATCTTCAACCACAAAATGAAATTCATGAGCAGTTCCCTTTGTCAGATGACGAAGTGGTAAATGGAATCCAGCAGTTCCATTTGTCGGACAATGAAGTGGTAAACCGAATTCTTCACATAAGCTCAAGTTACGATTTAGTTCTTCCGGACCTTGCTGGAACAATAAATCCCAGGAATGCAGAGGGAAGGATTTGGCAGTACCAGAATGGTACTTTTGGATTTGGATTCCTTCGGGACAATTTTGTCATAGACATGAAACATATTGTCCATGATGGTTCTATTGTGGATACTGTAAATTCTTCTGCTGATTAATTTCCTTCTTCTGCATTTTTTTATTCATAGACAAATTATGTAGCCTCACCCTATTCTCTGGGGAGTGGTTTCAGACAAATTATGTAGCCGGATGTCACCTATATGTCGTGGCATGGTGTATTATTAGCTGTGAAAATAATAACAATTTCCTTAGATGGTATCCAGTTTTGCTCCACCCCCTCCCCCAAATGTCCAATGGCTAGTTTCTTCTTTTACTGTGTTTTAGGCAGAAAGGTTCTTGCAATCGCTATTTCATTGCAAGAACATGCCATTTACACTGCCTCCCCTGTGACTTCGTTTTAGAATGCAAGAACTAAGATGTGTTTGAACAGATGCAGACTGAAATTAAAACTGAGTTCTCAAATGTGCAAAAAGCAAATCTCTAGGCTTCTTTTGCTGCCCCTTGCCTTTTCTCCAACAACTGAAACGCATTCGGTTTTCCATTTTTGTGGTTTGTTATTTTAGTTTTGAAAGAAAGTGGTCTTTTAATAGGGCCTTTTTTTTTTTTGGGGAGAGAAGGTTCTTGCATGCTCTTGCTTTAAACTAGTCTGACAAAAAAAAATTCCCATTTGTGCAACAGTCATATTGATTCAGAGGGAGGACTTCTTAATGTTCGATACAGATGGAACTTGAAAACTGGTTGCATGCATAGTGGGAAACGAAATTTAAGTGTAGGATATTGATCGGAAGTCGATGAGAGTTTTAAGAAATGCAATAACATATACTTCAGAATCACACATTCTGAATCAATCGCTTGCGACAACCAAAAACAAATGATGAAGGTCCACACACTTCACTAACAAAAAATTGAATACCCTATTTGTCACGGGTAAAGAGCTTCCCGGACTACAAGTAATGGTAAAAGCATGAGAGACAGCAGAAATATATGGTGCTCAAATCATGGAACTTGAGAAAGGGAAAATTCTGAGATACAAGTCTCTTTTATCATGTCTCGGATGCAACTTCTTCACCATTGATTTTCCCATTCATTGCACTCTTCTCATGGTCACCTTCAAGCTGGCTTAAATTTCCCTTCTCCTTGATCAATTGGATATGGTGGTGTTTGCAGTAGAGTTTTCCCTCATGTGCTATGTAATTGGAAGGACTGATAACACACCCTCCATGGCAGCATTTGAAACAACTCTTATGGTAAGGAGTTCCATTCACAGTAACCTTTATCATTACAAAATATTGATTCCATAAGCAGAAAAAGTTAGTTTTGTACTCAGCATCAGGTTTCTAGATAGAGAAGGATGATGAATAGTGTGCCAATGGATGGATGCTTCGGTGGAATTAACATGTATTAGTGAACAAAAGTTATGGTTGAATTATTACCTTCTCAGTGGGATACACTGTTTTCTGACAACCAGCACATTTATCCCTGGTTCCACCAAACATACTTGAGACTTTGGCTGCTGCTGCAGGTTTCTAATTAAAACACCTCAAAAATTAGTTGAATGCTGAAAAACTAAATGTTCTGTTGAGCATTGCAAGCACCTAGATTTAGGATTTATTACCTCATTATCGCTATTTTTTTCTGGTTTAGCAATTTTGGGTGTCCCTAATAAGGCAAAATAAAGTACGTTGAGTTACCGAGAAAGAAAATTATAGTGAGGCATTTAATAATTGGATCCTTGATCCCTTGTTACCTTCAAAGCTTTTGTCGAGGCTACCAGTTCTTTTGAACAGTTGGTCGAAGTGTGGCCTGCAGTAAAGAACTCCCTCAAAAGAGTTGTAGTTGCTGAGCTGCAGATACATGAATCTGTTAGCAAACTTGTTTTTTGAAAATTATAATGTAGTAACACGCCTTAATACCCCAAAAGTTAAAGAGATTCCAATATTATTTGCCGGTCTTCTAAAAATTCAGGCTGCATAGAAACCAGAAATGACCAGAAACAAAGAAATAATATTCCTAAGATGAAAATGCTTAGTTATAAAAGGAAATGCTATAATGGATGCCACTCGATATTCTGATTACAATAAATTTACATGGTTTCTTCTAATAACCAATTGCAGACACCAGATCCAAAGAAGCCTGAACTAGATCATATATACAAGAAGAATTACATAAGCTAGTAAGAGACAGTAGAAGAGAGAGACAGAGAGAGAGAGAGAGACCTTGAGGGTTCCTTTGCAGTGGTGGCATCTGAAACAAGCTTTGTGGAACACTCGGTTATCCGCAGTTAACTTATCAACAAGATAAACTGTTTTGTCACAAGCCATACACTTCTGGGTTGTTCCAGCAAATGCCATTCTTTCTTATACTCTCACTTCACCAAGGTGCAAGCAGGCTATGATCTCTACGTGTGTGTCTATTTTGAGTTTCTGCTTCTCTCTTAGTCTTGGTTTGTCACTAAGTGGAAGAACAGAACAAAGAAGATTGATTTAGGAGAAAAGGAAAAAGGGAAAGGAGAAAAGTGGCCTGCAGAAAATTGCGGAAACTAAAGCAAGCTTCCCAACAATTATAATGTCACTGACAATCATTTTGATCAAATTTTATCTTATGCACCTAACTGCACTTTTCTCGCATATTTTTTAATGTTTTACCCATGTCTTCTTCAACTGTGAATATAAATGCTTAAAATCTAAGAAAATAAAAATCAGTCCGGTTAAACTGTTTAGTGAAATGATGCAACTTCTATTTTGGTTGTCATTGTTGAAAACTGTGATTTTTGTTCGGGTTTGTTTTTCTCATGTTGCATGAGAAAACAAATCCTTTCTACCCACGAGGAAGGTTATACTTATAACTTTTTTTTTACAACCTCTTACAACCATATCTTAACACTGTTGATTTCCGTCAATCAACGGTTATCATTTATTGTGAATTAATAATTAATTAATAAGTTTAATTTGCGAAAATAATAACCGTTGATTGGCAGAAATTAACGGTGTTAAGATATGGTTGTAAGAGGTTGTAAGAAAAAAGGTCGTAAGTATAACTTTCCTTTTCTACACACACCATAAAAAAGTGTGCCACTTATTTTATTTTATTTTGTTTTTTTTAATAGGTAAGTCTCACACTTGATATATCTATGATATGAGATTAGAATTCTCCTCCAACATAAGATTTATTTTTCCCTTTTTGCTTATTGCCAAAGCATTTATCCTCCCCAGGGACATGTAATTACCGTCCAGGGATCTGCAGGGAAAGTGAGTTAAGTAGGAAAGTTAAAAAAAGATGTTTGATTGGACAAAATATTACCGAGAAAATTGAGTAAAATTTCCTGAATCTATGTTTGGTTGAAGATAAAATATTGATGGAAAACCAGGTTGAAATTACAAAATAATCCTTTACATTATTTTAATTTAGTTATAATGTTTTCTAAAGTCATCAAATTAGGGATATTCAGCCGTTGATATCAATTGTCCCAACGGCCATATCCAAAGTTGCATATATCCGTCTTTGTGTCCGTCTCTCATTCCAATTTCACCATATCAGGTTGGGTTTTTTTTTTCTCCATGATTTTTCTGAAATAAAACAAAAGCAAGTAGATCTTTGAGTAGATAAGCATGCAAAACCCATACAGAAGTTGCTGTGAAACCCAATCTGGTCGGCCTTGGTGCAGATCTGAAAGTGAAACCCAGAAACGGAAAAACTAGCACCTCCGTGCATGCCCAAAAGTAGATTTGCTCGGGGGAGGGAGACTCACTTTGGCGCTAGGAGGTTATAAAGGGTAGTTTTGGCAACTCCCTTTTTACCCATTTTTACTTAGCTGGTTATCTGTCAAATACCACCGTTGAAGTAGGATTTCAGAGCCGTAGTTTTGGTCCAATTTTGCATAAAAGCTCAATTGCTAAGCAAATTGGTCAGGTAGACAAATTTTTGGATCACCTGTACCAAACATGGACAACCTACTTATCCACTTTCAGATACCTAACAAAATTTTGAGATAACCTGTACCAAACACACCCTAATTATTGTGTAACATTCATTAACAGAAAAAGAGGAAGCCGATATATGATTAAGAAGTCTTATTCTCTATCTCACCTTTTAATCTCCATACATATGAAGGTATAATTTATTAAATTATATCCTTTAATTAATTATTAATCTCAGATAATTACATTCGTAAAATATAAAGATATGGACAATCAAGATGGAAAGTAAGTTTTTTTAATCTTGTACCGAAATCAAAAAATCAACGTCAATAGAAATTATAAATACCAAGTGGGGCCTCCAATTAAGTCCTAAATTAGTGTATAAACTAGTTACCATTTATTAAAATATAAAGCTACTTTGCAATGGCGGGGTCCCATGGCTTCAAAATCGCAACTTCCAGCACTTCATCATTCAACATCCAGCTGGCTTGCTTTCCTTCTCGAATCTCACTCTTCAAAGGGTAACTCAAAATTTCTTTAGTTACAATTAACATGGATAGATGAGGTTTCATGTATGTTTCTGACAAACCAAACTAATCATCTTCAATAGTTGTGCTTTTCTTTTCTTTTCTTTTCCTAATATTAGGTGTAGTAAAATTACGGATCTAGGAATGTGTAAATCTTTTTTAGTATATTGGGGTGGGGGAAAATGTTTATTTATTTATTAAGTATGAACAACCATGAGAAGATTAAATAAAGTTGAGAAATAAGTAAATGTCACGCTCTGTAATTTGGCACAAACCTACAACAATGATGGGTTGGGTTGGGTGTGGTGTAGGCTCTACATGCTATGGTTATTGCTACCTTGCCTCGCACTCCAATTATGATGACAGCTTGTATGAATCTATTACAGTCCCACTGCTCAAATTTATTAGCTTGCAGCTGTCTATTTTTTGGCCTAACAATTCAAGTGCTGCAAAGAAAAAGTATTCATAATTGACAACAATTTTATTTCAGGCACAACATTTCGGAATGCTACTTACTTCGTCTCTAACCTACCAATTGCAGCTAACTTTGTACATAAACATCAGAATCCTATCTTCTGTTTATATTTTGGAGAGCTCTATATATGATACTCATTCGTTGCAGTATTTTTTTTTTTTCCTGATAATTATTATTTAGTGTGGGAAATTCAGTAATTAATAATGTGATAATTAGATATTAGTTAGATACTTTTTATATTTATTAAAAAAGTTACACTAAGATTTTCTTATATAGAAATCATATCTTCAGATGATGTGATATAAAATATGGTTGACTCAGCTATATAATAATTATAAATTTTCATACATATATATCACCTAAGGATATGGTTATTTCTTTAAGAATACGATAGAATTTATCTTATTAGATCCTACTAGTTCTGAATGACATTGTTGTTTGTTGTCTTGCTAATATACGTAACAACAAATAATATAGAGCATATTTAAGACCCGATTATTGTTCCAACAGGGATCATGGCATTTTGCTTTGAAAATAATTTGCAATTGCTAAAATCAAAATATGAAATAAAATGATAAAATGGAAAAATATTAAAAATAGAAGGCTAATCTAAAAATAGATATGAGTGACATTAATTTTGAAATTTTCTAGTTAAAATCAGAATTTAAGTAATGTTGAAAATGAATTAAATAAAACTTAACTTGAGAATCTATTTCTTTTTAAACTTAAATTATTTTTATGTAACGTCTAAAACAGAGAAACGAAAATGCATAAACAAGTGTTTCTTAAAAATAATAAGAAAATAGATTGGATTTTAAGTTCCTCTACCTTCAAGAATTATCGAAATGAAGACCCACATTGCTCGACAAAAACGCCAGATTAACAACCCTTCATTACAACAGATTGATTTCTCAAAATGTATCTATCCCAATATTAGACACTAACCATATGTTTATGGTAACCATCAAAAGAACTTATTAAGCATAGGTCTCTTGTTACATGTAGGAATGTGCAAAATAACCAAAAAACCGAACCGAATCGAACCGAACCATCCATAAATAATCATTGATTTTAAAAATTAGTTCATGAACCGAACCGGTTTTTAAAGAACCAGTTCATGAACCGAACCGGATTTTAAAATCAGTTTAAGAACCGAACCATTTAAAACAAAACTGACCTGAACCGTTTCCGAACTGAACCGAACCAAACCGTTTTCAAACCGAACCAAATTGATTTTTATAACTTTATTTTTTTAAAAAAAAAATTCTTTTTAAAAGGGGGTCGACCCGAACCGGTTCCGAACCACTTCCGAACCGAACCATTTTCGAACTGAACAATTTAAACCAATTCGATTCGGTTTTTCAAAAGATCTGATTCAGTTCGACCCATGCACATCCCTAGCTACATGATACATCTCCTTCATGTCTGAAGTGAGATTTAAGGAGTGATGTCTCACTCAATCCCATATGTTCAAAGCTTAGTCTAGTATTTGTTTCTCAACAAACCACTCCTCTAAAGACCACATATATTTGGCCAGAATACAACAACCTTAGACATTAAAAACCAGCTATGAACAATTTAGAAATCAACTTTAAAAACAGAAGTCTTTCATCCAATAACTACTTAAGGTTTGGGTACTATCATAATCCAATGTTCAGAGTTTAGCTCAAATTCATGTCTAAAAGAAACATCCCAACAATAAACTAAGATTCAGATTACAATTAACGAAAACTAAATTCTTAAGGAAGAAGCTACACCTGTGTTATGCTCTCAAAACAAAATAAAACCCGAAAAATAAATCACCAAATCCCCACAAAATAGTGCAAGAAAAATTTTTGAAGAGCAAAAGATCCCTAGTTTTTACCCGTTGCTTCCTTTTTTATATATCCTCCTCCTTGCCCTTACATGCATCGTGAGCCCTTGGATCAGCATACGCGAGTACCTCCTCTCCAAAAATTGCTCGATCCTTCCTCTGTCAGGACCACCAACAATCAGCACAAGAAATCCACTCCTTTCGTACAAACCTCGTTGCTACTAAGGGTGTTCGCGGTCTGGATTGGATCAGTTTTGAAGCAAAAATATCTGATCCAATCCCTTCGATTTGATTATTTAATCATCGGTTCGATTTGGATTTTTTTTAAATCCAATCCAATTTTATTTGATTTGGATTAGATCGGTTTTTGGTTTTTCGAAAATCCTAAAATTTCAGCTATACAAATTACTAGCTATATCAAAATAAATCCATACAAAGTTATAAACCATTGAAAAATTAAAGTCTTCAAACGAAAACAAGTTTTACAACTCAGAAAGAGTTAAAATAAATTAATGGACGATAAAAAAACTAACACAAGATAATTTGCTATCAATAACGTCCAAGATTTCAAGTCTACAAAATAATAAGATTTCAAGTCACCATCGTTCAAAAATAATAAATACATAATACATTAGATCGGTTCGGATTGGATCGGTTTTCACCAACCAAACCAAAAATTGATCCAATCCAATTAAAATATGCGGATTTTTTT